TTTAGTCTTCGCCATTTTAAATCTAAACATTCCAGTAAAAAAGAAAAGAAAAAAAAGATAAATAGGAGGGAAAAAAAAGATAAATGATTATATGGAAAAATTTAATAAAGCAAATAAGCAAATATTGATTAAATACAAATGATGGCTTTTTGTTCTTGTCGGCCTAAATTTTCCTTCTTATATACACCCCATACTGTTTTTACACGAACTTTTTTTATACGATTTTAATTTAACACGACTTACTCAAATTCTAAAAAGTAAATTTTTCTTTACTTTTATTTTTATAACTTCGACATTGGAGACCAGGAATGAATTTTGCGTAAAAGTCAATAAATGGTAAGTTATAGTTCCAAAACCTTTATTTTATTAACCCTTTTGTCTACAATATAGCCTCAGAAACGTTGTAAGGCGGCCGGGTCAAATGTAACCAAAATGTCTGAGAGACGTTTTACGGCTGATCGGGTTAAAAGCGACTTACAAGGAGTCGGTCAGTGAGGCACATCACAGATTTTTTTCAAATTTGGCACACTTGTAGTAATCTATGAGAATATTCATTATGCCTTTAAACATGTGCCTATATATTTAGCCGTTTGCGAAAAAATGCGGATTGAAATTTGACAACGAATAAAATATTTTTATGTGTAACTCATATTATCTTGCCTAATTTTTGTGTTCATGAATTACTAACATGTTTTTTTCTTTTTCAAATGATTATTTACTTTGTATGATACATGTGCAATCTTTATGAAATAAAATGTTTAAGATCCTAACATGAAAACTCATGGTTTATTGTATTATTTTTGCTGATTTCTTAGAACTGGAATCAATCTTCTATTTTTCCATAGATGCAATATATTTTTTTACACGAATTTTTTTTACACGCATTCTTCGGAAACGTATCTACCGTGTAAAAACAGAACTAGGTGTATATATATATTTTATTTTTATTTTTTTCTATTTTTCTTTTTTTTCTCATTATTGGATCAAAGTGAGACTAACGTCACACATTACGTAAGCACCTAACACCCACGTAAAACAACACTTTTATTTTTAAACCATTTTAAATGTTCTCACTGAAGACCTCTCTCTCCATCCCTTTTTTTTGTTTTTTTTTTGTCTGTGTTTTCCTCTTGCTTTTACACTTCGTATATTACAGATGCGTAACTTAACCGGTTGCTTTGTCGCCGGGAACGCGATTAATTGTCAGTAGCAGAACGTGTTCTCGAACTAATAATTGAAATTTTTATTGTTGGTGAATATTATATAAGTTAGAAACTTTTGTCAGATCGACGTTTAATTTTCTGTCTCTCTATATGGAAGTAAATGATATTGCTTTAATTAAATTTGATCATGCGTGTATACCATTTTTATTTTTATAAATAGAACTTAATAATTAATTTTTCTAAATTTTATATAACATATGATTGAAAATATTTAACGCTAATCAGATTGTCGTAACTTTTTACAATATCAGTCTCTCAGCTAATTTTTTTCCTCTTTTTATTTTCCTAAAAAGCTACAAACGAAGTAGGGTTTTGTTATAAAATAAAAATAAAAAATAAAGTATACCTATGAATATTGGAAAATTGTATCCTAATTATTATGTATACATATATATATATATATAATGTAATATCTGATCCATCGTTCTTACGTTACCGAAAAAATGGCCGATAATAAAACTGTCAATTTATTGAGCATTACGTAGGCTTTGATAATAATTGAAGATGATATTAAAGAATATTGGTCTATCATTTTATTTTTTTTTGTATACATATATATAATTGTATAAGTATACGACGAGTTATTATTCAAATAATTTTATGATGTAATGTAATTCCAAAAATATTGCTTCTATCTAAAATCTAAATTTATTAACGTTATTTTGAACGATAATAAATTATATTACATATAATATATCTATATTTTATTATAATCTGATGTAATTCATATAAAATTTGTAACTTGACCTTAAATAATCTGATATTAAACAGATCAAATATATAAATATTTCTATTCGTGTATAATCAATATTATACACGAACATATGTATAAATGTTATGCGCTCTCTCTCTCTCTCTCTCTCTCTTTCTTTACTTCTGTAATAAAATTCAAAAAGGATAACGAAGTAGACGATAATTGGAGATCGATTAAAGTGAAATATAATTCTCAATATCTGGTTGATTTCTATCGAGGCAATTGTGGTAGAAATTTGTTGAGAGCAATATCACAAGAGAAGAATAATTATTATAACGTTATTTGTACAATCACATAAGCTTTATAACATTCGCTTTTCATTGTAATTTCCTCCCTTCTCCTATCTCTTTCTACCTCTTTCTATTTCTTTCTTCTTCATATCCGACTATATATCTCCAACTTTTTCTCACCGGTAGCAAACTCGTAATGACATTTGGCTAAGCGGATGATACATTATTACAAGCAGACAAAAGAGTATAGTAACCCGAACGAAGAGAGAATTGAATGAAAAGTTCGAAAATCGCGTAAAGTGTTTTTTGTAAAATAGAAAAGAAAATGAAGAGAAATGAAACGGGATGAGAATTTTATAAAATCGAATCATTCGTTCAAATCATACATCTATCATTCATAATTCCATTTCGACTTTCCCTATTTCTCGACGAAAAGCTATGACGAGACGAGAATAATTTATTTTTTATTTCATCGACTAATGCGAAAATGGGAATGATCATAAATTTAGTTCGGCATGCTCGTTACATACAAAAGTCGTATCTCTCGTCCATTGAAATTCGCTGATTTGTCAAATCAGCGGTATCAGAGATCAATAACAATAGCAGTTGCGTGGAAAATCCAACGGGGATCCAACGGGGTTTGTTTGCATGTAGGTCACGCTCACGTAGCGACTACGTTTCGTCTCTACGCATGTCCACGCATAAATATATATATATATAAATAGAAGATATTCGGGGTATCGTAAAACAGATAATGTCACGTATATAGTCAAATCAGAACACTATGGTGAAATATCGAATCGGATCGTGTGTCAATAAAATCTTATTTAAATTTGTTATTTAATAAAATATAATCAATTAATAAATGCAAGAGAACCTTGATTAACCAATTAATTGTGATTGACAAGTATATTTTTCATGCGAAAAAAACATAGTTATCATTTGATATTGAGAGAAATATGTTCCTAAATTGCGTAGCAAAAATGTGCAATAAACACAAAATATTGTCATTTCTTCATGACGAATATGTCACAGTTAATTGATTAATCGAGATCTCGTATATCCCTTGTTTTATATTGTCTTTTGAATATATTAATTAATCAAGCTTCTACTATGTATTTTTTTAATACTTTATTTTAATATTTTTGAATTTATTCGGATTTTCATTTCTAGTCAATGAATTTATTATAATTAAATGTTTAATTTTAATGAATATTATGTATATTTACATATATCGTGAAATAAGATTCCGTATAAGATGAAACTATACATATGAGAATACTTAAAACATATAGTTCCATTCATTCAGACATACAAAGATGAAAATGTTTCAGTAAGTAAGAAACTTATGGCAGGAGTTAGAATTTAGTTCAATATTCTCATCTCATTTCATTTGGGAGAAGATCTCGTTTCAAGATACCGAATAATATGACAAACCCTGGAGAGTTTCAACATTAATGCATTGCGTTCGTATATCGTCGTTGCGTTTTATGAGATACTAAATTTGAAACTTGTATTCCGTTTGTTTAGACAATGACGTTTGCTATGATTTTAAAAATTATGCGGATATTATCATTAATTGAGAAAATTTAGATTATTGTTTCAAATTATAGAAAATAAGATCACGAGTATCGAAATATAATCGGGAATTATAACAACAAAATTATTTGATTGTAATGAAAAATTAGATGATAAAAATTTGGTACAATAGAATTACCATAATCATTGACAATTATGGAAATATTAACATGATAAACAAATATTATTTAATTAGAAAATTAATGATAATAATGAAAAATAGAATAATTACTATCAATTGATGGTTATGGAAATATAATATTACTGTGAATTACAATTTCCCTACGGCTATGGTTATAGGTACTCTAGTTATGGAATCAATGCACAAAAGCGATATCAGAGATATAGTGACCTAGGCCATTATTTACGCCTAGGCCAAGCTAGGCCATGACCTGTGCCAATCGATGTTGAACATAACCGTTGAATCTCCTACAGAAGAGAATATTTTTTAAAAGTTAACGATATTTTAGGTCTTTATGTTATTCCTGTCTTCGATTTATGGGACTCTATAGAAAAATGATAAAATCCTTTACAATATCATTTTCTGCTTTGTGATTGACTAAGATAGTTTCTTTCCAATATCGATTCTAAAGATCAGGGTCGATTTATTTATGATGAATAATTTATGCACAAGACTGACATTTATAAGCGAAACGTCAATTTTCATTCTAAAACTGACTGTAGTAATCATAGGGTGCAAGCTGTGGGTCTTATTCTTCCTATATAGTGTTATACTTACAAATTTTATTCATAATGCGGAAGGGTGGATTAAATAAAAACTTTGGATTATAATATTTTCATAAATCCTAATGTCCGATTTATTAGTATTTTATTAACGCGAGTTTAATTATAGAAATATTGACTTATACTTTTAACAAACTAAAGAATAAAAAAAAAGTATCTTAATGTAATTGAAATAGATTTTGTTGAGATCTTCAAAAGAATAATGCACTTATTGTCGAGCAAACCCTTTTTCTGTGCACACATTTATACATTTAGAATTATTCCCATAAAATTCTATTTTAAAACTACTCCTTTATTCCCATCTATCACGTTTATCCTTTAGAATAATATTTTTCTAGACCATTCACGAAAGGATTGGGTTGATTGTATGGAATCTACATATATAGACATATACGCATACGTAGATATAAGGACATACCTATCGTACGGTCATAATTCGCAGTGGTCTATTATAGTCAGCAAATTACGTACCTCGTAAACAGCCCCGAGTGGCATGGCGAGGCAGGCAACCATAAGGTCGGCGACGGCCAGGCTCACGATTAAATAATTTGCCACGGATTGTAGGTTCCGTTCCAACAGGATCACCGCTATAACGAACAAATTCCCTGAAACATATGTAAATCGGAGAGGACGTTAAGGCGCTCCCGTTTATAAGCGTCAAATCGAATAATCTACTTCTATTAACCCTTTCATTCCTAGTTAAGCGTGCGCATGCGTAATTTCCATCAATGACTAATTGTAAGCCCTACTGTAGACAATTCTGAATTTTGACATAAGAAATCTTCACTTTTAACATATTAGAAAAACATATTAGATAAATTTATAAACAATTAAAATAATAAAATTTATAACTTCAAATAATTAACCAATTCTCATTATTTTTATGATACAATTATGTATATCAATAAATTTATTATTATATTTCAATATAAAACCTGAAGGTAATAAATTACCACCCACCTGATGTATTTAAAACTGAACAAAAAAAGAAATTCACCTAATGTCCACGGACAAATTGTAAAGTAGAAAATGAATATAATCAAAAAAATATAATAAATATAAATGCCTAGGAAAAGCTCACAACGTCGGCAGATCCCACTTTTCCTATAACATATATAATATTATTATTAATATTTATTAATAATATAAATATGCGATAAATTTTGAAACACACCTTACAGATAAACCAGCCTTACAATTTTCACATCAGTAATAACTTTAAATGTATAAATAGATATAAATTAAAATCCGATTATAGTTGAGATTTAGGATGGAAAAGGTTAAGGATTTATTAAAAATAAGAACGTGTCTATCGAGTTGAGTATATACGACTCAAGGTCATCCATCGTTAAAGTATCTCATTGCGAGTCGAGACGTTTAACGCGTTATATTGTAACTCGACGCTTGAAACATAGCAATGTATATTTTTCTTTATCCTTCTCTTTCTCCCTCTTTTTATTTCTCTCATCTTTTGGTATTTTTTCCTATCTTCTCTCTCTCTCTCTCTCTCTCTCTCTCTCTCTCTCTCTCTCTCTCTCTATTTCTTTCTTCTTTTATCAACACACTCGGTCGATATCGAAACGCGAAGAAATTCTCGTAGATTTTCTCACGTCGTCGTGCTTTCTCGTTGATGGGAAAAGTCGACGGATAACGTCGATGCTTTTTCGATCTTCCAGATCGAAATGGACGATTCATTTCTTTGTAGAACAAGCGAGAAAGAGAACATGATCTATTTTGAAATACAACGAAACCGGACCGATATAAAAGGATTGCAAACAGACAATACGTCCTTTGACTCGGTAAAGAAGATTTCCACAAGATACGAATTGTCCTACGATACTATGATATATGTATATGTTACCGTCACAGCCGGAAATCCGCCATTGCTAGTAATTCCTCGGCATTGTTTGCAATGCAAAGCGCCTTTTGACAAAGTCGGAAACAAGAATTCTTACAGACTTTTTCTAAGCATTGAACATAATACTTAGACATTCTATAGAATATCAAATTACTATAAAAGCAATGTTGAAAAGAATACATTATCCGGCACAGGCACACACAGCATACGCACCCCCCCTCCCCTCCCCCCACCCCATCACTAACAACCCCCGCTCCGACACACACAAAAGCGAGCATGGTGCAGGTTATTGAGACTGTAAGTGTCGCTATACTATGCGTACCTCTATAAACTGAAACTTAGTCAATGTTGGTGCGTTATTATATTCATAGAGATTTCCACGGAAAATCTGTATCTTTTGTTCCTTATCGTATCGGAAGATAAGCGGGTTTAGAACGAATTATTCTAGGAAGAATTTTTAGGAAATGTTAGAAATATGAATACATTTCCGACTTTGTCAAAAGGCGCTTTGCATTGCGGACAATGCCGGGGTATTACTAGCAATAAAGGATTTCCGAATATGACGGTAACATATACATTATTACAATTATATATAGAACCTATTTTATCATATATACATGGTGTGGTTTCTCCAGTAAAACAGTGTCAGCGTATTCTGACGTGAATACGAAAATGAGAAAGAAGAATCTTATACTAATATAGGTCATTTAAAATTTTATCAACTTTTTGTACTATTAAATCACCTCTGACGTGACAAAACTATTCTTTCCTAGAACTCCTAAAACAAATCAGTATGAAGGTTTCATTCGAAAAATGCATACGAATTTTTTTTCTCAATACTGTTATGTGCAATTAAAAAGTATTATATATTAAACAAATATAAACAATAATACAATATATATTTAAATTTTGATATGAGACATCAAAAGAAGAAAAATTCAATCAGAGTTAGCAGAAAACAAACTAGACAAATAATTATAATGCAATGTTACTATGTTGTTTTGATCTTACAATTAGAATCATAGGGCCTGCGATAAAACATGTTAAACTTGGGTAGCAATCAACGTGTTTTATAACATTTTTTTATTATTTTAGCTTCTAGAATACGTTGACACCGTTTGATTGAAAAAACTTAAAACACCCTATATACTAAAAAGTAACTTTATATACAGGTATTATAATACATAATATATATGCATAGGAATTTCTCAATACGATACAAGTTGATATCGTTCTCTTTGGAAGCAGAAACCACGTTTTCAGTTTTAACCAAGCATTCAATGCTAACCCCGGTCGGAAGTTGGTCGATTAATTAGGATCTCGGAAAATCGAGTAATTAAGCTTTATAAATTATAGCACTTGGAAGTTAATTTCGTAGTCAACACATTATGGGGAACGCGTTACTCTGTTAAACGTGACTCATTATTATCGTTTTATTTACGTATTTATTACAACGAAAAGAAAGAAAATTATTTTTATTTTTTATCAAACACATATGTTTTCCAACCAAAATGATTTCTTTCGTTTATGTAATATTTCGAGATTTTGGATCATTTTATCTTATGGTTATAATAAATGCAATTGTTACGATTAATTTCCGATAAAAAAAAATGTTAGTGAAGATAAAGTGCAAAGAAAGGTTACTTATTAGTTAGATATTTACGTCTGAATAATAAAATGGATCCTTCCAATCGTTTAGACGATTCTAAATATGCGGAGCACGCGGTGTTATGAAATCGTGCTTATACTCCGTGACAGGAATATCGATGTTAGTATTTTCTGTGCGAATTACGGACAAACTCGAATGAAGATTGAAAGAAAATTCTATTGGACTTTCCTTTTTATCTTTTCGGTATATTCCCGTCATTGTGTTACCTCGTTTTTTTATTCTCTATTTTTCTCAATCATGTTATTACACTTGTGTGAATTTTGGTTATTGATTTATTTATCCTTTCCTATCTGACTTATTCTTGCGTTAAAAATATTAAAGAACTCACGAAATTAATAATCAATCATTTCCGGTTTTTTATTTTCTAAAAATAAACAATTTAATCGAACGCAACAATTTTGAGCACAGAAAAATAAAAATTACAAAAAAAAGATGGTGCAAAAATTTGGTCGCAGTTCTAAATGAAATTCGCGTATGCGTAAACTATGCCTATGCTTCTTTTCTTACAAATAAATTTCTGTATAATATGTAACGCATACCAAACAACAAATAGGTCAACCATAAACAACGAAAAATGATCGCGCGAGAAGCACTTAAAGAGTAACGTACCGTAACTCGTCTAAAGTTGCAACCCCTTTTTCCCCAATTCGCTTTTCATCCCTTCGAATTTTCCCTTTTTATTTTTACATTTAACATAGAAAGAGTTTCATGATAACGTGAATCGTACTTTCATACTTTATACTTGTTTACGTATATCGCATTATTTCATAATAATTTTCTAGTCATACAATATTCAACGCATTCGTAATCCTAAACTTGCTTTCTATTATTATTTCCATGCATTCGAATTTCGAGCATCGGAGAACTATTACGAAATACAAGAGGATAGAAATCCGTGTTCTCTCTTCCATGGAAGCAAATGGAAATTCAAAAACTAAAAGGGAAAATGGAACGGAAGCGTACAAGAATGAAAGAGAAAGAAAGAAAGAGAGAGAGAGAGAGAGAAGAGTAAGTGCATTTTGCTTTAAATTTTAGTCGGTAATGCGGTACATGCTTCAAGAGATTCCTCGTCTCGTAATATAATATAATTTACTTCGAATATAACAATAAGTTTATCCCCCCTCCCTCCTTTTGCCCTCCTTCCCACCACTGGTCAGACTTAATTCACCAGAATATTTTAATAACGTAAAAATTATTCGAGAAATGTATTATACATTGTATTAGACATTTAAATATATCTCAAGTCTTTTTACTATGAAAATTCATAAGTGATATTATTTAAACCTAATTTTATTTCTGTAGATTATAAAATTACGAGTTTACAAAAAAGCTTACAATCGGAATAATAGAATTGGCAAAAGAAAAATGTTATTTATTACATATTATTCTTTCTACGAATTATTGAATTAATTTTATTCTCATCAATAATATTTATTCAAACATAGTTAATCCGTATTACTCTTTCTTTAAACGTTTGAGGGATCTGTTTCTTTTAAAATCCTTTAACAAGTCTTTAAATTTATTTTGCATTATATTCTAAAATAATTATTTCAAGTTGTTCGGTAAAATAAAAGATGTAAGTATTTATATTTGAATAATTTAAAAATAAAAATGTCTTTTAAGATTTTTCATTAGTTCTTTATGTCACCTTGTATGTATACATATAGTAACAGAATAACAATGTATAGGATTACGAAGCTAAACCAGGACAATCCGGATTTTCGATTCTTTGTCTTGTTCTTTTTCTCATTCAACTTATCGACCATAATCCATGAGATACAAGGATTATCCTAGCGTCAACTGACCAACCCTCACTTCCTACCTCTTGCCACCCACCCTTCACCCCATTTTTTTCTCTCACTCTCTCTCTCTCTCTCTCTATCTTTCTCACACTACTTCGACATCTATGAACGCACGTGTCTCTCGTAATCGATTCTTCGAAAGTGTGATATCGAAGAAGATACCTGAGCAAGGTAAAGTATACGTGATACAATTTCCGTTCTTCCTTCACATGCTTTTCACCTACATATGTATATTTGCTGTATATATATTTATATATATACGAAATCGAGTTTACAGAGTTTTAAAATGTTATGGTTGTGCTGAAGGACGATGCGATGTATGTATCATTGATTAGATTGACTAGGGCGAACCTTCCTAACTTGGAAATTGTAATTTTCTATGAAATTTATCTACCGAGAATCTAAAACATATCGAATTACCCTAAGGAAATATGTTTTTTTAAACTTCAAATATTCTATCATTCAATTATATCAAGTAAGAAGATTTATTTAAAAGTATGAGAGAGAAAATATGAATTAAATAAATATTAACAATCGTATATAAATAATTTATTGAATTTATCTAAAAATAAAACGTTAATATTAGTTAATGATATTGTAGAACAAATGAAAGGTGTCTTTTATGAAGTAAAAATAAAATAAATAAACAGAGTGACTTTGATTTAATCTTCACGCAAGGACGTTCGGAAAGGGATTGATATTTTATGCCGATAAATCATTTGTAATAAGTATAATAATGTTCCCCCACTTCGTTTTTTAACAAAAGCTTTACTTCTGACTCAATCGAACATTTCTTGCACATTGTTTTCATAACCAGGATAGTTTACACCGTGATCTGTATAATTTTATTTCAAAATTAATTCAATTCTAATCTATTATTTTAGATATATTATAATATATTTAAAGAAAATGTTAACGTAACAATTTTATATGTCTCGATATATATATATTTTTAAATACATCTAATTTATATTCCTAAATTATTACGAATTTTTCAGATATGTGTTATATTCATAGGTAATAAAAGAATATGATAATAATATAATTATTATTAAAATATTATAACTATTCATATATATGTGTGTATTAAAGAAGATATAAAGTAAGAGATTATAGAATAATAAAATAAATTTCCAAAATGATTCTTTTTATTCAGCCCCTTCTGAAAGCGTTGAAACCATCGTCAATGATTCGTCGTCATATCGTTCATTTTCCTCTCAGTTTAAGCTTCGTTTCACCACATTTTGAACATGACTAAGCGTTCTCATTCGTGTACGTCTAAAGGCAAATATGTATATACATTTTTATAAGGCCCTTATCCTCTCGATTCTTAAGTCACTTCTACCACAGTGAAAGTAAAATGCCAACGTAACGCTCCTTTCTTCAATGGATTCAAGACGTTCCAGTTAAGCGGTCACGTATTTCATTTAAATTAAACCACGATTTATTCTAACCTTTCGGTTATTTATTTATTATTCCTCTTCCATTTTGAGTGTAGGATTGTGTTACAATACTTTCGACTTTTCCTTCCAATTTTTTTCTCTTTTATTGACCAATACACGCATTTACACTCAAGCACGTATTTTATATTCGACGATGTAATAAATAAAAAAAGCAGAAAAGAAAAAAATAAAAGCAAATATAAATGGTCGATCCGTCGAATCGATTTATAACCATGAAAAAGCAACAATTTCTCGACTTTCCGAACAACGTACATACGTGAACATATAATATTTCTTTCTTTTCTCGCGACATAATTAAAACGAATATGACGTATTCGTTTTGTTTATTGCTCGATCCAATTTAGTATACTAAATTTATACGTCTTTTTATTAGTTATTAAAAAATCTCGCCAATTTGCTATCACGATTTTTATCGTAGGTTTAACTTTCCTTTTCTTGGCGAGATTCCAGCGAGTACTTATAACCTACTATTCTTTTCTCTCTCTCTCTCTCTCTCTCTCTCTCTCTCTCTCTCTCTCTCTCTCTCTTTCTCTCTCTCTCTCTAGTTTTCTCTTTCACTCCCACTTTTTTTCGAGACAAGCCCATAACGATATTTACTGGAATAAAAAGAACCTCTTGATCGGTCTACTTTCATCCTAGGTGCACGGTTTTCTTTTCCAAGACTCGGTCGAGTGGAAGAGGCTTTCATATAAAAATTTTCAAATCGAGGATACTTTCTCGATAGGAAAGAGGGGAAGAAAGGGTAAGGGTGAGAAGTTTAGTAGGAAAAAAACTTTGGACGGTCATGCATTATTAATGAGAGTAATACTTCTTTGAAAAGATATCGTAGTGTGCCCATCTTAGAAAAATTTTACTCTCCCTTCGAAGTGGTCTAGACCTATCCCTAAGTATACAAAAGAAGAAAGAAGAGAAATTACGTGTTATAATATCGGACACTATAACCGCCTTTCTTATATTTTATCGTCCTTCTTCAGTGATATAAATTATTTCGTAATATTTTAAGGAACTTGTGATAACGATACGATAGATCGTGTTATTAATATTTGGAAAATATTATTTTAATAATAATGTGTGTGTATTACGTTGACGTTTGTGGCTTGAGGAATAAAATGATTTTATTTATCTGTGCGTACTTCGAACATTATAATTGAAAGATATTTTATTAATAGTTAACGTTTAGAAATGTGATATATCTACTGTATATATTTACTCTGTGTATGTGTATGTGTGTGTATGTGTTTTATTTGTGTTATATCGAATGAAACAATAGTAAAATAAATATTGGAAATAAAAATATAGATTGTTTCATTTGATTGAATAATTTAAAGTAACTATGTTTGAATAAATATTTTTATTGTAAATGCAGTTGATTCAATAATTCATGACAATAAATATGTATATTAGAAAAAAAAAGATTAATAAAATGAAATTACGATACTAGTACTTATTTAGTATTTTTCTTTACAATGTATATAGCGTATACAAATTTTCTCCATTTAATGTAAATTTGTGTTGAATTAAATTTATTTGACATAAAATCAATTATATTAAAATATATTTTTAAGTAATTAGTACGCTTTTGCCATTTTTAATTACATTATACGGAACGTATGAAAATATTTTTGTATTTCATGGATTCATGTTTATGCATAATAAATTTATTTGAAATAAAATAAATATTGTATACTTAAAATATATATTTTTAGTAATTAGTACGTGTTTGCCATATTTCTTTATATTGCATAGAACGTAAAAACATTGTCTACATTTCGTGTATGCATAAATGTGTGTATGTGTGTGCAATAAATTCATTTGAAATAAAATAAATAATGTATTTTTAAACTAAATTTATAGGAAATTATTACGCGTTTGCCTTTCTTCTTTACATTGTACAAAGCATATAAAAATTTCCTGCATTACGTGTATGCATACATGTGCGTGAGTGTGTGTGTGTGTGTGTGCATGTGTAATAAATTTATTTTAAATAAAATAAATAGTATACTTAAAATATATTTTCACTCAAAATATGTTACATTAAATCATAAATGATTGTTTCTAATTGTAGTTAATTTATTAATTATATTTGAATACTCGTAGCAATATAAATAAATATGACGAAATGAAATTAAAAAAAAAATTAATTAAGTAAATAATAAAATAAGGTAAATGTAGGTTGATCAAATAAGTTTTATTAGAGAAATAAGTAAGCGTATCGGTATGCAGGTCGATAGGTCGAGAGTAGGGAGAAGTTTTAATGCGATAGCGATTACCCGCGTCACTGTCGTTGACAGATTATATGCGGTCGAAGCGTGTCAGGTTTAAATTGATCACCCGTTATGCTTATATGTATGAATATAACAGATGTGTTAGTGAGGTAGTGTTTGTTGGTAAGACGAAACATCAACGACGACGACGACGACGACATTGTTATCTTGTAACCCTCGACATAGGCATCGACTCAACCATGATTCGAGGGACCCTCTTTTAAATCTTAAACTTTTATTGATAATAATGATAACAGCAATATGTTGACTTTGGAGCAAAGAAAGAACCAATTTTATGCATTAAAACAAAGTCTACGTTATATGATTTTATTTTATTTTATTTAAATTCAAATGTGAATTAAATAAATATTGAAATTTGTTAAACTTTTATTTCAATGATTTTCAGATTTGGTGATAGAAAATATATATTTTCTAATTTCTTATAGTAATTTATGTTAACAGGAATATCGAATAATTTGTATACGTCTATGAGAAGTAATTAGCATGCTTATAATTGCATGGATCTATAATATTGTTTTGAATTTATCTTTCAACGATGTAAACATTGTACGATTAAAAAGGCAAATTTTCTAATTTGCAATAATAATTTATGTACACAAGAATGTCGAATAATTTATCTACGCCTATGAGAAGTAGTTAACGTGCTTATAATTACACGGATACACACATATGTAGTGGTGAGGAGGGTTGTAAGATGGTCATGTATAGGTAACTATAGTTAGAGTAGAGGAATGACGATTAATGGTTGTGATGGTTTGTAAATCAATTATACTACTGATACACTCACCAGCTTCGAGTTAACGGTAACGCTATCCAGTTCGTTTAACAACTAACTATCTAACAATAAGTGCTAATTTCAATCGGTTGTTCGTAAAGCTTATTAGTTATTACATTGTTACTGAGAATTATTGAACGAATATATCATCGGGAATGATTGAAGTAATTGAAGTGATTGAAAAAAGGGAATCCAAATTCGATTCCGGGATTCATCGATTACACGAAGTTATATACCGAACTAAAATTAAGTTTGTTAAGAATCTTACTTTTCAATTAGATTAATTCTCAATAATTAAATTTTTATTTTAATCAACAATTTTTGGTTCATCTAGAAGTAATAATAAACGACTAAAATTGATAAAATATTAAAAATTACTAAAATAAATATATATATAGTTATATAAAATTCCTTTTCTCTTTTCTTTAATTTTTAAGAGAAGCTTACAATAATATTATTAAATAAATAATGAATAATAATAATAAGAAACTTTTTACTATTATAAAAAGTTTCGATATTAATGTTGGAAAAACAGGATGGGGTATTGAAAGAGTATAAAATAAAAATGAAAGTTGTCTTACCAACGATAGTGACGAGTATCAAAAGAGCCAATATGGTGGCCCTTAATATGACCCAGGGATTTGTAAAATCGAAATTGTCGGCGGTCGCATTCGCTGCTATACTGACGTTTTCCTCCATTCTGAGACGAGGAGTATATAGATTCGGTTTCTCGAGCGGTCTTCAACGACCGCTGGTCATCATCTTTTCGCGATACGCGTCATGATCGGCTTATCGAAAATCGATTCGGTCTTTAAAGCCAAATGCTTTATTTCAATTGTCAAAGTAGTGTCAATGTGCTATTGTCATCAATACTTTATCAAGATTCGTTGAGTTGTTTGAAATTGTATCAATTATGGCTTCCATCTTGTATTTTTTCTTTTTTTTTTTTTTCAAATGGCTTTCGTTATCCAAGTAATCCTTGATATCTGCAAAATTAAGAAGAAAAAAAGAGTAAAACAGTTTTCTATTAATAGAAAATATTCAATTATATTATTCAATTAGAATATTAAATTAACAATTGAAATTACTGATACCATTGTTATAAATAAAAATATGGAAATGTTTGAAATGGTAAATAGGAAAGTATTACAAAATATTTCAAGTCACGTTAACGTGAAAAACAAAATGAGAGAGTACCATTTTTAATATCGATCAAGTGTCCAAAGGAAGAACTCTTTTAAAAAGCAGCCAACCATGAAAGTGGAACACAAACAAAGAGAAAGACAAAGAATGAGAAGAAAGGACAAAAAGTATCATTGAGGAATACAGAGAGAAGTGAAGAAGAAAGAAGTGAAAAAGCGAGAAACAGAAAGACAAAGAGACAATTTTGAGTACTCCTTGTGGCTATCATTATCGATGGATGTGCTTTGTTAAGGTAAGTGCCAAGTCGTTTATTAGAAAACCGATTATTTATTACGAATCACGTAGCAATAGTATTTTTCTTTTTATACTTTTCAATTACTATAAATCTTTCTTTTATATTACGTTGACAATTATATGAACAAAATTATATATAAATCATTGATAAATAATTAATAATAATTAATTATGATAAATGATCAAATAATATTTAAATAAAAATATAATTCTTTCTTTCTCTTTTTTTATACGTATAGTAATAGCATTATTAAAATAATATAACTTTTTTTCCTTTCCTTTTTAAATTTTATGACAAAATATTATTTAAAATCATTGATAGGTATAATTTGTTATTAATTATAAAGTTTTAATAAATTGTTTTGAATAAAAAGTCTTCCTTTTTGTTATACATTTCTTTTTCTCTCTCTTTCTTTTTCTTTTTTTGATATGCATGAATTAGTATATAAAGGTATAAAGATATATATACACTGGAATATATCTTATTTTCTCAGGATTCTCTGGATCGTCGAAATGGTGATGATTTACATGAAGTTCATGCATATATCTACTTCGAGGAACGTACTTATACCATCCAAACGAGAGCTTCGAAGCTATTTGGGTCATGGTGAAGTAATGGGTAAATATTAGGCTGAAAAGTTTCACGGTGAAACGAGGGAAAAAAGAACAAAAATACGAAAAGATAAGAGAATAATAGGTAAAGTGACTTTGAAAAAAAAAGATAGAAATAAAATAAGAATGAGGGACACAGGAGAAAAAGAAAAACGAATGAGACAAAAAATTAGGGAAAGAAGGAAGGAAGGAAGGAAGAAAATGGAATTCAAGGTAGATGTTCGAAATAATTTGGAGGATTAAATAAAAAACAAAAAAAGAAGAAAAGAACACCACTTCCATTCGGTTTACAAATAAGTGAAGAATTTTATGCAATTAGTTAAGTCGTCAATTAAATGCACAATGAAAAATTTAAAAAAAATAAAAAGAACTACTTACACTAAGATATATTGGAGAGTTTATTTTGGTCCCGCAAGAAATGGGCTCTTATTGTTGGCTCTTATTGTTGGCTCTTATTGTTGGCTCTTATTGTTGGCTCTTATTGTTAAACGACGATATAATATTTAACATTTTCAACAATGGCGGATTTAATTCTCGAGAGATTCAAAACATTAAACAAACATTTTTCGAAGGCCATTAAAATAAATCTATTATGCACGATGTACGCATACGTTTTTTTTTCTTCTTCAATTATTCATGCAAACAAATGCATTATTATCGAAAAATATGCAAATGAAAATGATGCGTCGACCATTTATCGGTTATTAAACGAAATTTATTAAACAATATAAATTTATTTGCACTCTATGGACCCATTTTTTGTGAGCTAAAAATTGACCTCCTTAATTCAACTTCGTATATAAGGTTTTATGGGTTTTTTTTCTTTTATTTCTCATTATCTTTTTAACAATATCGAATTATTCATTTCTCTGTTTCTCATTCGTGGCAAGGAAGAAAAAAAAATAAAGGAAAAGAGAGACAGGACCATGGTACGCGGTTTATAATTTATGATCGTTTTTTCTCGTTATCTCCCCTTATTTTTTTAACTGTACTAACACACACACACACACACAGACTCGCGCGCGCGTATATAGAAACAGCTTAATCAGATACATATTTATTTATAATGTTTTACAAATGAACGTTATTAACGTCATAATAACTAGCAGACAATTAATGCTACTGACAATAAGATGTAAGATTTATCACATGTATATAACTTCCATTCCCTCTCCCCCCACACATATATATCTTTTCGTCTTTTATTTGTTTTTTCTATCCTTTAAAAATAAGAATATTAATACGTGTTTTTTAATGTTTATGCGATGCATTTTTAAGATTTTTAAATCGTCCAATTTTATTATCATCGTAATCATAATCATAATAATCATCATCGTCATTATCAATGTTCGCACGTATCCGTTTTAATTTCATGCTCTTTTATCTACCTAAACTCGATCATGTTTCGAAAGCCACGAAAGCTTCCACATATGATATGAAGTATTCCGATCATTTGCAATTACTGGAACGAATTGGCATTTAAATGTCGATAAATTTCCATGTTCAATGTGTTTCGATATTATATCCCGCGATAGCTGGATTCATAACGTGTCGTATTATATAATATACAGGATAAATCAACGGATATTAATTTTATTCGATTAAATAAATTTACCATAAATATATTTCGATATTTCGTTTTTTATTTTTTTATTTTTATAATTGTATTTTATTTAAATAAATTTTATTGTACGACTAAGCGAAGACACATCTTTTTCCTATATTTGTTTTTTTCAAAAATTCGAAAAAGTAACTAACATCAATCACAATTGACATTTTCATTTTTAATTATATTTGCTATGTACGCAAATTATTCTAACAAAAATTAGTTGACGTTGACACGAAAACATTGTAATTGATTTTTCTTTAATTTCTTACGATGAAACTAATGATAATAATAATAATAATAAAAATAATAACGATAACGATTTAATAATAACGATGCTAATTGTTGTAACGACGATTGTTACAATAAAATTGTACTTTAAATTCACTGTATTTCGTTCGTTTTCATGAATGTGGATTTAAGTCTCATTAAAATGAAATTTTCACAAGAGCGTTCAAGTTATTTTGTAGTATTCCAATAGTATGAGGGTAAAGAACGAAAGAATAAAATGAAGAATATTTGATTGTTAGAAGTTAAACAAAAAAAAATATTTTTCAGGAAATTAGGTAGAAAAACATGGTTGCCATTTGACCGATATCGTGTTCATCTAATTAGAATTTTTCATGAGGTATTATAGGAAAAAAAAAAAATATTTTATAAATCTCATTGGACAATTTTACGTATTTACGTATATTTATATCCATTCATGAATAAAATGAACATAAAAGAAGAGGTTGAAATAAACGAGTATATTTTTTGTGGTTTAATGTCTTAAAAAAAAGAAAAAAAAAAGAAAAAATAAGAAACAAGAAAAATGATAATAACAAGAATAAGAAATATAAGATAATATTCTACAAGACTAATTACAATTTCAGACTGGCTTATGCCAAGTCACATTTAATAAGTGGTCATTATAACCTTTCCCGAAGGAACAATCTCGTAGCTGGAGGGTTTAAATCGTTAAACAGATTTATTCAACTTCTCCAGAGTACTATACTTATCCTTTTGCCGTATAATAACGGTATTAAAATTAACGTAAATACGAATAACCGACATTCTCAGATTTACTCCCAGTTCTATATCACCGAATAAAAGGGACAAAGTTTTGTTGTAAATTATACTTATGCAATCTATCGCTAAAAGATTAATACAAAGAGGAAAAGAAAAATTTAAGAACGAATAGACGAAGCTTCAAATGTTATGAACAATCCACAATTACTCTGGGTATATTATTTATAATATATATATATGTGCGTATGTGTACGTGCGCGTGAAAGGGTGGATTGTTATTGTTATGTATCGGATGATGAAATAACAACGAATTTATAATAAAAATTTATTTCAAACGTTTGAAATTGTAAATGATTATTTTTCATAAAACAAGATCATCAAGATTTTTTTTTTAATTTATGTATAATAGAATATATAATAGAAAGAGGTTATAAATTTAATTCGAAATATTTTAAATAGTAGAAGATAATATTTTATAAAATATAACTCATCGAAATTTTTACTCTTTTGCTTTTCTTTCTTTTGTTTTTTGTAGATCTTGATTCTTTTCATTGTATAATACTAAAGTGGTAAAGTTGATCAATGTATATTCAAAATGACCTAAATGCGTAACTTTTAAAGTTCATAAATACTGCAAGGGGTTTTTAATTATGATATCGTTTATCAAAAAATATTCGACTCTTCTTGATTTTTATTATAACATATGAAACTTTAATAAATGTTTTTTTTTTTTAAAACTAAAACAAGGGAATATACATAGAGATTTTTTGCAATTTTCTATGACGTGCAGTATAGTTAGATGTATAATCTCAGTAATACGTAGTTTATAGGTAAACCGATATTTCGATATTTAGAGTCATCTTTCGTTTCATTTTCCCAAGTAGTATTATATAGTTGTAAATCGATTTTCAAAGCACAACCTTTAACACGATCAACATTTTTCTTTTTTATTTAGTTATACGTTTTCTTTTGATTTTCTTCTTTCTAAGATCGTTGTTGTTGTTCTTCTTCTTTTTCTCCTTTTGCTTTTTCTTGATTCTCTTTTAGCGTCTTCTTTTACTTTTACTTTTCAAGACGAAGATGTTGTTAAATCTTTTGAAACTATTATTCGCGTGAGGTAGAGAGTTAAAGGTTCGTATACTTGCGGAAAAGGGAATAACTGAAGAGCTCGGTTATGGTTGAAAAAGTTTCAACGGTATAACCAAAACTTGCATTTTACCTGTTTTTCTAAAAAAAAAAAGAAAAGAAAAAGAAAAATATGAGAGAAAGAAAGAGAAATAAAAAGAATGTTGCGTAATAGCGTAGAGAATGATTCGTGTA